AGTAGAGAATTCCCCCAGATCAGAACAGAAGTCAAGCTCAATCTTTACGCGTTTTGTCCCTTTTCTTCCTCTCTCAAATACGCAGTCTCCTTGAATATTCAACGATTTCTCTGTCACGAAGCACCTGTCTTTTCAAATTATTTTTGGTCTTCTTTGCCTCTGAGTGCTTCTGCCATCCGGTGGGTGGCGGGGGGGGAATTGCTACTGTTTCTTCTCTCATCACATGCAGTACACCATTCAATACTTTCATTTTTGGCCCAAACAATTCATCCAAAAAAATTCCAAGTTGAACGTTCGTTATTTTTCTTTCTGTTGTTTTTGAGGAGCTTCCTTCCTCTTCTGTTCTGCATTTTGAATGTTTTCCACTACGTTTCTCTCTGCGTGACCGCGGCCATGTTCTTTCGTCAGGGGATTCTTGTTTTGTCCTGCCTCCTTCTTCGACTTTCCCTTCCGTGAATGACCAGCTGAGTGAAGACTCTCGTCATAGTTGTACTCCTCTAAATCGTCGTTATTTTCCATTGTTAATCAACACCCTTGAGACAAATAAATCTCAGCAAATAATTTCTCGCTTTTCCAAAGTGATGATTCACTGCACTCGCTGCTCTAAGAATGCTGGGAGATCACTTTCTGCATACATTAGCATATTTAACATCAAGTGAGCTTCAGTTTACATAAAGGAAGTGTACTATACAGACATTTCTCTCGTAGTTTCTCAGATAAATTCGTCTGCACTGGACAATCACAAGATTTCTTTACCTTGTGCGGTTCTCCTGAGATAGTGTTAATCGCTAAACGTGGATTTTCGTCATGGGCGGCTTGGTAAGCCTCCGTGAGAGTTTGTTGTTGGCCATTCTCTGCTTTGCGGTGTGGAACGAAGTGATCTCCTCTCACATAAATTCACAAGCTTTATTTGAAGAACCTGTCCTTCCTGAAACCAAGATCAGCATTAAGATGCCAGGGACTAGTCCACAAGAGGTAAGTGTTCTGTTAATCAACGAGATACGTTCGTGACTTGTCGTGCATTTGATTGAGTTGTACATTGCATTCGTTAATCAAACTTTATAATATGCATGCCCGATGTTGTGGTCGGAGGATCGCCTCACCGATTTTAATTGTATCCTCCCTTCGAACATTAAGCTGACGTTTCGCTCGACAAGAAGTCGATTATCTTGTTCTCCAACTAAGACTTATTAGCTTTTCTTATCACTCTAGAAAGTGCGCAAAGATTGAAAACTGAGGAATCGCACTTTTTAACGTGATATTCACATTAAATATTGAATGTGTTTGTCAAATATACGCCACATCTTTGGACCTTAATTAAGCTTAATTCTCGTCATGAAATTGCGAAGCGCTCAACTGTTAGCCTTTTTTTTTTCACTTTAGTGTTGTCTCATCGTCCCTTCTTGTTTTTGCCACTTGTCATGTTGTTTTAAAACTTTTAATCTTACAGTTGGGTTTGTACATGGAATCAAATGAATGGTTTGAAATATAAAGAGGCCAGGAAGAAGTTTCTTTATTTAGAGCTCTGGCGACTATTAAAAACCGAATTGTCAATACCAGGGTGAATATCAGTTAGTTCAATATAACCACAATACCCCTCAGAGATAGATGAACCATACCTGGCATTAAAACATGTTACACGTCACTGCTTAGCAACACTTCTTAGCAAACAGCCTCTTTATTTGAGCCCGGTATACAGGCTGGCTCAGTTACTGGGACGAATTTTGTTGTCTGTTCATATGGGAAATTTCAGCCCGGTTGACCGAAACGAAATTCAAGAAACAAAACCTAAATAGTGGAATATAAACTTGTATCATTTACAACTATCGTAGCTTTGTGGACTCTTGCAACTTTACTAGTAAAGGTAATGTACATACTTCTGAATTGGAAACACATACAGGGCAACAATTTTCCCATTTTGGCCATTATGTTGCAAAAGCAAAGCTATTCTGTCTAAAAAGTTTCGTCCTGGTCATCCAGCTGGAGTGTTCATATGGGAAATTCTCATTAAGTTAGTCCAAGTTGTGACATCCTCAGATTACACGTAGGTTTGTGACTGTGGCCAATCTGATCTGGGGCATTTTCCAAAGTACAGGAAAAAAAATATAATTATACATTATAATGACTGCATACTCAAGTTTTTTTTTATCAGTAGTGATAGTTGACAAGAGGCAAAGACCCAAATAAACTGTCAAAGTTGATAAAAACCAAAGAAGATGGAAAACTGACATTGATAGTCTGTTTTTATTAATAATTCAAATTTTAAACATAATGCACCAAAATAGAAAATTAAGGTGCCCCAAATTTCAGTGCTACATGTAGTTACCATTTTATTCAATCGGATAATTTAGGAGTTTTGCCCATAGTCAGCCAATGGGTTATAAAAATTTATGTGAATTAAATTACACGTATCTGACACGTTTCAAGTCCAGCACAGAATTCTCCCATTTGTCCCTAAATTATGCTGATTGAGACTATTATTAAAAGCTAATAAATATGA